ATTTATAAATGTATGAATCATATGGTGAAAAACTGACTTTGAAAAATAAATCTGTTCTTTTTTTTCTTATAAAAGGCTAAATACAAAAATATTGGTGGTAATTTTTGACTGTGTAACTTTACAAACGGCACCCTGTACCACGTCGTACAGAAAAACAAAAGTGATTTTGATGCTTTAAAGAGGTCCGGCTTATTTTGGGAGCAAATATTTAATAATTTCTACTCATTAATAACCTTGGTATCATTCTTAAAACTGCTTCACCGTTGGTCTCAAGTCTTTTTACTCTTTATGTCCACGTCCAACCTCTATTAACTCACAGATGAGCACATTTCTAACTGGGTGCTGAAGCTTTAGGCTGGCAGAAGACTGAAACCAGTAAGGATTTTTCAATTTCATTGCAAGTTAATTTTTATTCAAAGCCGATTATTGTATTATTATTTTTATTATAGGGCTCATTTTACTGATCATAAAGTGTGTTTTCAGTATGAATATGTGCCTCGTGGTTTTGGTTTAACAGAAGAACTTAAGAAACTTGGACAGAACATCTTGATCCGAAAAGCAAAGCCAATGACCAAGTTTTGTACTGCAATGAAACTGTGCCTTATGATGACTTCCAAAAGTATCTTTTTAAAAAAAAAATACAATTAGTTTGTGAACAACATTCATGAAAGGAGTGTCCAGAATGTCTCGCAGTGGTTTTCAGTTTCCTCGCATGAGTTGCAGAGGTGCACAATCGTATTGCTTGAGTTTTACACGTCTTAAAAGAAAACAAAAAAAAAGTGAGACTAATTTAGCCTCTAAAGCAGGTCGATTCAACTAAACTGCTCCGGGGGGCCACAGTTACTGCAGGTCAACAGCTGAGGGGCCGAACATCCAGCAATTAAAATCTTGTAAATAAACCAAGTATTATAAAGATTTGTTTTTAAACCAATTTTATTTTCATTTATCTTAATTTTATATTCTACTGCTTGTAGTTTTAAGTGTCTTGGGTTTTCATTCAAATGGGTTTTACCAGCTTTTGGCCAAGATTCTGACATTCCTGTAGATAACAAACATGTTTAACTTAAAGAACTTATGGAATTAAAGTAGAAAACCAAGGAATGGGCTTAAAAAACAATGAACTTAATGAACCAATTGGTGGGCCGGATTTTGGTCATCAGTGGGCCTGATGTGGCCTGCGGGCCTCCAATTGAATAGCCCTGCTCTAAAGAGTCGTCACGGTGAAGTCTGTCATGATAACAATTAATCACTTGATTGCACGGTAAATTAAAGTGAGTATGGTCACAACCTCTGGTTCAGGTTTATTCGTAGTTTTTTTACGTACGTTAATTTGATGAACTTTTGTAAAGTTTGTAAGGAGGTGGGCAGAGGAGTAGCTTAAAATAGTCTCTACACAATATTATCTTTTATCCCAATAACTTCTAAGACAATTTACGGTCCAGCAGGTTTGTTATTGTGACAGGCCTCGAGTGATRGAGCGAAATTTTGACACCAACCCAGTAGATTTCGATTAAAAAAAATTGTAAAACTGGTCAAAATTGGACTGTTTTTGTTATATTTAATGCTTCACCAGGTAATCTGAATTATGACAGGTCAAATTCAAATGAATAGATAAATAAAAATAAAGTGTGTGTGAAAACGCTCCATCCACTCACTTTCAAAATAAAAGTAACGCCAGCCTTTCAAAACCATCTCCACCGTTCACAGGTTGCTCTGCGTCGTGAGACAAACGTTTTCACAGCGAGGAGAAAAAAAAGGCTATTAAGACAAAGAGTAGCTGGACTTTGTAACAGTGAAGGATATAAGACCACATCGTTTTGGAGAACAGTCAAAGGGGCAGTGTTTAGCCTGAGCAATCGCACACAAAACAAAACAGTCTGGTTTCTGTGTAGACAATAAAACTTCCTTTAAAAAAAACAATAAAATAAAATTAATGGCTATCAGAATAAACTGCAGTCCGTTTCCACGCATGCTGCGGTGCTGCGGAGTCAAAGGACTCGTGAGTCCCGGTTATGATCCCAGAAAGCGCCGAGCACAATTTGTGGACCTTTGATCAGAAGCAGAGCAGCAGAACTTCTGGTGACTTAATGGAATGACTGAAGAAGGAGGCGTTGTGGCACAAACAGTACGTAGGCTACATAAACCAACACACACACRCACACACACACACGCCGTACACGTTCCACGGTACGATTTACCCGACATGATCCACCTCAGCTGGTTAGTTCACCCTGCCTTTTCTTCTCTTCCTCTAAATATATCTGTTTCTATCTTCAAAAATAAGTTTCCTCAGTTTACATTCTATAACACTTTCTCTCAGTGATAAACCTTTACGACGCGTTAAAGTGATGCGAAACAGTCAKAAATATCACCTCCCAACTGGATCCTCCATCAAAGTGCTGCTTTTCAGAACACACACACACACATAGTGAATGACACAAACACACAAACTGCCTGTTAACACACAGATACACACTGTTCCTGAGTATGAACCATAGGAGCTCGCTTTGTTTTTTTTCCCTAAGAAATTCTGTGTAAACTAGTTTAAAGGACTAGTAAGAAAGTAAGAAAGGATTTTTTTCTGCTTTAATCAAAACATCAGTGCTTTGATACATCAGGTATGGACCTGAGAGAGGCATACCGTCACTGAGGTTGCTGCTGTGGTATTAGATTTCTGTAAAAAAATAAAATAAAATAAAAAGAGTATTTTGTATCGGATTCTAATGACACCATCTGACTTCGTTTGATTCGGTTTCTACGGGCCGGGTTAGCAAAATCCTTCAAAAATAGTTCATATCTTCAGCTGAGTTCTGTTGTAAAGTTATGAACAAGGTTTATTCTAGACAGCGCTGTAAATTACCTCGGTTTGGAGAAAAAGCATTTCTGACCAGACTGGATGAGCTGGGCTGAGTGAGGCAAAGACTCTGCGCTGCTTTCAGTTTCATATGAGTAACCCCTAATTTACACTACATGCGTTGCGGCTCTGCTCCGGTCTGACCTCCGCAGCAAATACACACCCATTATAACCAATGAGTGTTTACACTGGTGGCGGTGAGCGGACGGCGATCCGTCAAAATTAGATCCAATCACATTTCTGCCGGATGACGGAGCAGCGCCGGAGTCAATTTTTAAAGATTACGTCGCACCAACAGGAAAAGGAACGAGCACAACATCTGTATTTTCAAAATAAGACACTTTTAGGAAGAATAATTTGCCGGAATATTGTCAAAATTGCAGCTATATTAATCAATATATGGATATATTTCTACACAAATGCTGTCAGAATGTATCGTTCTGTTTGGGAAGCAGATGGAAACATGTAGCATGAAGCGTATGTGTACACACACGATACACGTGGGTTTTATTTTGAAATCAGAAGCTTCAGAAAGGCGACAGCGAGATAGTTTCAACATAGATATCAAAAACCTTTATATCGTTGTTTTCAGCTGTGTTTGGATTTCRAATTTCACAGAATTAATTATTTTTTGCAGTGACTTCCACATTTAGCACTGAATTTATCGCGCAATCTCCTTCCTGCACGTCTGTCGTACCGGAACGGAGCAGAGGCTGTATAAATTGAGACACAAATCAACAGCTGTGACCTGCGCACCTCAGCGCAGCGCAGCGCAGCGGAGACGCACGTAGTGTTAATCCGGGGTTATTCTGGCAGAAATATGAGGACATTCCTGCCAGTGCTTTACGCTGCACTAGAAGTGCTAAAGCTAGCTGCTGCTGCTATACGCGCTTGCAACTAACCGTAGAACTGCATCACTGTGTGACGTGAAATCACTTACACAACTTTTTCTCCAAACATAAGTTGCTCAAAAAGCTGTCTACAGCAGGTAAGATATTGTTTGTTCATAACTTTCCACAAAACCCTTAAAAGATATGAACTCTCTCTTTAATCTCTCTTCCTGACCTAAAAACCATCTCATCTTCCTTTTTTTTTAAATATTTTACCAACACTTCTTTTGAATTGTTAAAAATAAAAAGCTTGCCCTGCACCAATCAGCAGACAGAGCGGTTTAGCAGCTGGTGGGTGATGTAGAGGCGGAGCCAGGCGTTCCTCCAGTGGCTGCTAGTAAAATAAAATTAAAAAATAAAAGGTAATGAGTTACAATAATCTAATCTGATCAGATTTTCTATAGAAATAGTTCTCATTGTAAACCATGGGAGTGGTACAAAAACCCAACAAACACGGCCTCCAGGACGGTAAAGTGAAGCCAATCTCTGGCTGGGACAAATATAACKGTTTACGAGTGGTTAAAGGGTTAAAGGGTTTGTTTTGTGCTTGGGGAGTCTACAAGAAAATAAACACTTTATTTAACTTTATTTACTTAAAATCATGAGGAAATGAGCTTCAATTCCTTCTTAGCATAGAAAACGTAAGATTTAAAGGGATCCATAATTAGTTGTAACATTAGACTTTATTTGATAAACATTTATTTTAACTGTAAAATAAAGACTGTAAAAATACTGTAGGATGTTCAGTTTTTATCATTTTTAAACTAAAAGTTTAATATATTACGCAGATGGGGTCATTTTATTTACACACAAAGCATTCTGGGTAAATGATGACGTGGATAGGTCCTCGGTGCGAGGCTGCTAGCGAGCTATATCCACCCTGAAGGTTAATCTTGGACAATATCTGATGATCGACTCTTTTAAATGAAACCAGAGAGCGTTGACAGAGAGGAGAAGGTAGAAATGACTCAGCCTGGAACTGAAAATATGGATGGAGGACCTCAGTTTAGCTTGTTTGTCACGCTAGCGCCAAGCTAATACATATAAGGCAATATATCATCCGCGCTAGCGCAAAAGCTAACAGGCTAAGCTGAGGTTCTTCTTCCATGAAGCAGCTCTGTTGTCCTCCATCCATATTTTCAGTTCCAGGCTGAGTCATTTCTACCTTCTCCTCTCTGTCAACGCTCTCTGGTTTCATTTAAAAGAGTCGATCATCAGATATTGTCCAAGATTAACCTTCAGGGTGGATATAGCTCGCTAGCAGCCTCGCACCGAGGACCTATCCATGTCATCATTTACCCAGAATGCTTTGCGTGTAAATAAAATGGCTCCGTCCGTGTAATATATTTTTAAAAATTTACTAAACTAAACAGCCTACAGTATTTTTACAGTCTTTACTTTACAGTTAAAATAAATGTTTATCAAATAAAGTCTAATGTTACAACTAATCATGGATCCCTTTAACAGTCCGTCTGTTTATAAAGCTAACAGGACAGAAGGAGTGAGGCAACAATTCTTTTCAGGGGTTTTATTTCTCCATTTTTAAGGTTTTAGATTAATAACAATTAGTTTATTTAGTATTGTGAGATRAAAATGCACTGAGCAAGGAATTGTGGGTTTTGAAGTTCACTGTCACGTCATCTAATGTCAGAGCAGTTTTCTTTTTTAATAAATTCCTTCTACCGGCTTTTTTCAACTTTTTATGTGATCTGGGCTGCCACGATTAGTCAACTAGTCGACGACTAATCGACTATTAAAATAGTCAACGACCAWTTGAAAAGTCGATTAGTCATTGTTTTTCTCTCCAAACTGCTTTGACACCTTCCACTGCCACGTCTGCCTTTCTGTCCTTGACACACATGCACAGTAGTGGTAACTGGGGTAGGCCGTGGACGTCACAAGACATTATACAGACAGGCTCTGGTATCATGGCTACCTGACAACGGAGCTCAAAGTGTGGGATCATTTTAAGAAAATGAAAGAGAAACCTGTGTAATATCTGCAGAGCAGAACTTACCTTCCACAGCAATTATTTTTAGTTAGCATATAGCTAAAATCTAACCATGGTTATATAATATCAGCTGCATTCTGATGCGATAAGCTGTATGTTTTATATTCAATTAACATATGATCCGATTAGTCGACTAATTGAATAAATAATCGGTGATTAATCGACTATAAAAATAATCGTTTGTGGCAGCAATTCAGAGTTATGAGCCTTACACTGCTTCCTATTTAATACAACATTAAAAAATCTTTTTGTGAGGTTTGAGCCCATTCTAGAGTAAAACAGCCACTAAACCGGAGTATAATTTAGAGCAAATGAACGTGCAAAGTTTCCACAATCTCACTTAGTTGGTCCTGGAGGGCATGTCCACACATTTTAATGTTTTGTGTTAGCTGCACTGCCCTGTGTGTCCAAGAACATTATGATGCAGATGAATGAGAAAGCACYGAAGGGGGCTAAAGTCATAAAGATTAAAATAATAAGGAACTCAATCAGCGATGTYAATCAGAAGCCACAGTTGAACGTGTGTACTAAAACATAAAGACGCAGCAAAAAAAAAAAATAGTTTCGAGGCGTAAACGTAAAGAAAACAGGAATCTCATCAGAGGAATTTATCTTGAACCCAGTCGCTGCGACAAACACACGCTAACGTCACAAGTCTTTTTTTATGTTAAAATGAATATCATCGACTGAGTTCGTGGCTAAAGGCGCCTTATATCCTGTGCTCGGTTTGACGGCCACAAAAACACACAAAGCACAACCCACGCGCGCGCACACACAACCATACGGAGGAACAAGGCCACCTGCAGCAGCATTCAGAACACACGTGACGGAGCTCACAGCATCACTGAACAGCCACTACAACTCCTAATGTGGTTTTTAACAAACGTCCGCTCACGTCTCTGCTGTAAAACAAGAACTGAAATGATCAAAATGTACCCGCCTCCTACACAKTATCATCAAGGACTGTGCTAAACCACGGGATGAGGGGAGGAAAAAATTCAGTAACAGGATTGAGCCTCGCAGAGTTAACACTGAACCAACGCTCGGCTCGCTCAGGTCTCCGGCTGCCATTCATGATCCACATTCACGCTGCATTTTGTTTTAGCTTTCAGCTTTAATTGCACTGATCCTGTGTGTTACCCCACATTACCAAGGTGCTCTTCTGGACTTCATCACAGACAAAAGAAAATGGTGTAAATTYTATTTTACAGTAGCCTTGATTGATTGAGAAGAAGGAGGTTGAACACAAACCGGACCACGAGTATTCAAAAAAGTTGTTTTTTTTAACAATCCAGTCCTTTTTGTTTAAAATCTTTCGCTCCCAGCACTGGAGTGGCCCTCTATGCTGATTTTGACCTCCTGCGGGAGGAAGGAGGGTTTGGGCAGAGTCACGGGGGGCTCCTCCTCGCCTCTCTCGGTCTGGTCTCGCTCCGGCGCCGACCAGCGTCTCTTACGATTGGAAGGTCTGTCCGAATCGACGCACTGGAGTTTCGAGAGGTCCGTTTGGATGGATTCTTGTCGTACTTTTGCAGTCCGAACCGCCGGCGCTGCTCGGGTCCTGTAGACACCCTCTGCTTGTCCCGGTTCTAGTTCTGCTGGTAGCTGCCCTGCTGGTCCAGAACCGGCAACCTGCTGCCTGTCCACAACGTCCACACTGGAGGCCTTCGTTAGAAGATGGCCGCCGCCGCCGCCGCCGGGAGGGCTCGAACCGTTCCTCACATTCGGATCTCCGTTGTGAGGGGAGTCGTTGAAGTGGCCGGCCTTCGGCTTGTCCGCGAGCGAACCGTTCCTCAAGCTGCGAAGGGTCAGCGACACGCACACGTCGCCCACGCACAGCTTGGCGCAGGACAGCTCGAACAGCTGGGTGGTCCGATCGGGGCAGCAGGACGACCAGCCCTGGCCGAAAACGAAGAAGGGATACTCCACCAACACCTCCACGCACACCTGGGCGGGAAACACAGGTGTTGTTTTACGAAAATACATCCAGAAACACGTGACCCCATCACGTCAAACTGAGGATTAGGTCAAATGTTGCTTTTTAAGCTACATTTTGACGCCTGGATCGTCCTGATAGCATGAGCAGCAGATATGCTTTGATTCGTCTTCATCAGGAAAACTCGATATTTGGTCTGAATCTTTTTCTTTTACTCTTTGGTGTCGTAAAGAGGAAAAATCTAACTATTTTTGGATATTAAGATTTACCAACTGGAAAGTAACAAAGGCTTTGCTACCTTGCAGGCAATAATTACAAAAATGTGAGGCTTTTCAGTTCAAAATCATGTTTTTTGCAGCTGCAATTCAAACATGGGCTTCAAAAATCTCTTTAAAGGGATCCCCGATTAGTTGTAACATTAGACTTTATTTAATAAACATTTATTTTAAC